TTGGCGCAACTGCTGGTACCCTTCGGTAAAGTAACCGGTTGCGAACTGGAAAATGGCCATAGAAATAGTTGATTTACTGCATTTATGCAGCTATAAACTGGTGATTTTCCATAGTTTTTTGTATGTTTACCCGAGGGTTTTTAAGGTGAAGGCTTGAAGAAGGAGGGGTCAGGGATTGGCCACACCAATGGAGTTGACGGTGAAAAGTTGAAATGGTCACCGTTCTTCTGTTGCCAATATTTGATGTGGTACAGGGCAGTACAGGGTGTTGAAACTTCGGCCCAAGTCTTTATCTTTGGCTGGGGCCGGCCCCATGGTGTTTTTTTAGCTCTGTAATACATCAATATACATTATGTGTCTAATTAACATTGATTAATTATATATATACATAATCAATACAGTAGGCTTGATGTAATGAGGTTGAGCCATGAGAAGTGACTGATGACGTCCAACAATGAGTTCTCAATGTAGCACTGGTTGATGTTCCCAACTGGAGGTGTGATCCCCAACTGACTGACTATTTGGTTGGGATTGAACCCCAAAGCAGATCTTTGAAGATATTTGAAATGTGAGATGCCTTGCCAGTTGTTGTGAGCACTGTCATGATTGTTGCAGATTTTAAGAATGCAGCGCACCCGTATCCTTATTCTCATTCCCACCATCATCATCGCCACTGCGATCATGAGCATCATCATTCCACTACTCCGTTATTCCATCATTCTATTCATTCCATCACTCCATTTATTCTGACGTTCCATTACTTCCATCATTCTTCTTATTCCATGATTCCAATTCGTTCTATCATTCTATGCAATTTCACATAATTTCATCATTTTATTTCATTCTGTTCATTCCATCATTCTTTTAACTCCATCATTCCATCATTCTATTTATTTTTGTACATTCCATCATTTTATTCACTTGATCACTCGCGATCATTCCGTTTATTTCATCATTCGATCAATTCCATCATTCAATATATAATTCAATTTATATAGATATGATTCTATTCAAAGTGCGAATCTAGTTCTATTCTAGTCTATCCCATTCCATTCTGTTCTCTTGATCATCATCATCGTCATCATCATCATCATCAGCATCAGTCCACCAAGCAGCGCCAACCAGGGCACCTTGATAAAGCATAGACCAACAAAATACCCAAGCATTGGTGATGATTCTTGACATCAAACAGGTACTCCCAAAGGGGGCAATTTTTATCAATGTTCTGTGTCACGACATATCACTGAAACCAATGTGGTAGTTTCACATTGTTCTATTGAGCATCCAGATGTTCAATGGGTGATGATCTACAAATGGAAAATCGAAGGTGAGGTAGGTCATGATTCGATTGCACCGCAATATTGACAAAGTAGATCAACATTTGTATATATACATTTGTTAAATTTTGATGAAAACAACCCAAACCAATAACCATGGGTCCAACAGACAACTTGCATACCTTGACCTAGACCAACTTGTATCACCGATGGCGCCGTGAAACGCACGTGACACATGTGAACTAGGCTGGGCGTTCCATGTGTCCATGTCATACCGCAACTTTTAGCTGGTGGCTGATGCCCGTCTCAGGAAACCCCGTGGATGCAAGGAGGGCAGGTGCGAGCATTGTGATGGGAAAATGATTTCAATATATTTCAATCGCCCACATTCAAAAATTCAACTGCAGCACTTGTATGTCATTCTCTGCGTGGTGAAGGTTGCAGAAGGCATGCTGATTGTCCGGTGGAAGTGATGGAAAGCCCCAACTGGGACAATACATTATGCAGGACTCCAGTTCCAACCCAAATCTATCATGATCTATTATGATCTATTTGCCTATGTGGCAATGACCCACAAAACACCCAGTTGTGTAGCTGAATAATTCATTTATCTCCGAATTTACTTCCGAAAAAAAAAGAAAAAAAGTCTAATGTGGCTGAACTCACTCATAGACTCATAGATCCTGCACATTTCCCCAACACATTGTCTCCCCATTCACCGCCTACACGTGATTCGCTCCCGGTTGTTCCGCGGTAGGAATTGCGATCATTGCCACCTGTGCCCGTGGAAACGCACACGTGTGGACAAGGTTCGACCAGGATGGGTCAAAATTTCAATCTCAGGGGACCACAGATTGACTTGTCATGACTTGTCTATATTTTGTCAGACCATTTTTGGGGGTGCCCAATTTTGACCCATACCCCCCCATTTTATGATGGGAAATGATGATGGATCATTAAATTTGGTACCTTATTTTTCAGACAACCCCACCTTTATTGTGCAAGAAGTAGCGATTCATAGTTAGTAGCTGAGTTTAATAACCCCCCAAAAGACTGAGATGTATTGGGAGCCCAGTTGCAGTACTTATCACAATCACTAATTCTAGCAACACCTGAATTGTTGGGTTTCTCTCGCAAAGATAGGGATATCATAGAACTTATTTAGCAATCAAGATTGATTGTGTATTTTAGCCATCAAAATGGAAAATGGGAATCCCACACAAAATGACAATTCAATGGTGAAAATAGGTTGAGTAGCCAGTGCATTCCAAAGGAGCCAAATCCAACTCTTGGATGGTCTCCCGAACCCCTGGGTATGAAGTGGGTTTGGACAATTTACTTTTCAGCTTTTCACACCTAAAAAAGGTTCCAACACATTAAAAACAACACTTTTTTTAGGTTCAAGGTGGCTGAAACCCTGGTTCCGCTTTGAAATAATCACTGGTTGGTGGTTTGGAACATTTTTTATTTTTCATAATATATGGGAATAATAATCCCAAATGACTAATATTGTTCAGACGGGTTGAAACCACCAACCAGCATGGTTTGATGGCAGAGATCATTTGCTGGGGAAACCAATGGAACTGACATATGGGATATGCCACCGACCACAGCAAGGAACATGTACATATAGAATATATATATATATAAGTATATATATATATATAATATTACATTATACTAAATTGTATTGTATTATATCATATCTCATGTCATGTCATGTCATGTCATATTATCTGATCTTATATTATATTACACTATATTATATCACATATATATATATATATAACATGCTGTCTTTTAACCGCCTCACAATTTTTGGTCATTTGCTGGTTCTGTTGATTTAAGAAGATTATAGGAATCCTCAATTAGATAGAACAGTGAATTAGCACTATTTCAATAGGGATTTGTGTGTGTGTTCATCTTTCTGGGGATAACTCTGTATATATATATATATTTCATATATGCATAGAACTGGAATCGCCCATGGGTCCGAGGTTCATGCTTTGAAACCTTCCCAAAACGCCCTCGAGGGTCCACATCCTCGGGTTGCCCCAGGCCCCAACAGACGGTGGTGCAGGCTGACGGCTGGGTGAGTTTGAAGCCATGGCTCCAATGTGCCCCAAGTCTTTCAATGTGATTATAAAAGCCAACATACATACATACATACATACCATTACATTACATTACATTACATTACATTACATTACATTACATTACATACATTACATTACATTACATTACATTACATTACATTACATTACATTACATTAATACATACATACATACATACATACATACATACATACATACATACATACATACATACATACATACATACATACATACATACATACATACACACATACATACTACATACATACATACATACATACATACATACATACATACATACATACATACATACATACATACATACATACATACATACATACATACATACATACATACATACATACATACATACATACATAATACATACATACATACATACATACATACATACATACATACATACATACATACATACATACATACATACATACATACATTACATTACATACATACATACATACATTACATACATACATTACATACATACATTACATACATACATACATACATACATACATACATACATACATACATACATACATACATACATAATTACATTACATTACATTACATCACATTACATCACATCACATTACATTACATACACATACATACATACATACATTACATACGTTACATACATTACATATATTACATACCTGCATACATTACATACATTGCATACATTACATACATTACATACATTACATACATTACATACATTACATACATTACATACATTACATACATTACATACATTACATACATTACATACATTACATACATTACATACATAACATGCATAACATGCATAACATGCATAACATGCATAACATGCATAACATGCATACATGCATAACATGCATAACATGCATAACATGCATAACATGCATAACATGCATAACATGCATAACATGCATAACATGCATAACATGCATAACATGCATAACATACATACATACATACATACATAACATACATAACATACATAACATACATAACATACATAACATACATAACATACATAACATACATACATACATACATACATAACATACATAACTATACATAATCACATACATAATCACATACATACATACATACATACAACATACATACATACATACATACATACATACATACATACATACATACATACATACATACATACATACATACATACATACATACATACATACATACATACATACATACATACATACATACATACATACATACATACATACATACATACATACATACATACATACATACATACATACATACATACATACATACATACATACATACATACTGGTACGTACATACATACATACATACAATACAATTCAATATAATACAATATAATACAGTACAATACAATATTTTTTGGGGGATAATAAAATTGATCGCGCAACGTGGTAATGGTCAACTGAGGATGCTGCATTGTTGGATTTACCACTGAAACTGGCTATAGAACGAAGAAAAGTCGGCCTCCCTGCTGAATCTTCAAGGATCACAGCTACCACAGCACCAGACCCAACTTTCCATGTGTCTTTCTGAGTTGGTTGGTGCTTCTTCCTGTGTTGGACGACTACGGTTCAACAGCCCCCAATGTATATATATATATATATAACTATATATGTATTATATATATAATATATATGTATTATATATATATGTATTAAACATGTATTATATATATATACATATATATATATATCATATTGCTTAATAAAAATGATGATACAGTAATCTTTCCATGTTTGCGAAAGAGGCTCATCATGTTCCTGTGTTGTCAGCTCCATCTGGCGATGCTCTCCCACCTCTTGAGATCACGTCGAACACGATCCTTTCTGGTGGTATAACAGCGAAATCGGGTAATTTTTGCACAGTTAAATGTTGCTAAATATACCAGCACCCCTTTATGGATAATTTGGGGCTAGCCCAGAGCCCATTTGCTCGGATTTGTGTTTTTGTTGATTCACGTTTAAGGCCTTTTAGGTGCAAATGTTTGTTGAGTTTTGTCATACGGAGAAGTTGGACAGAAGAGCATTGATGATGCGGATAGTGATGATATGATAATGCTAGTTCTGATAGTGAATGATTGGGATAATGGATGATTTGGATTTGGATAATGACTAACACATGATTGGGAAACTCATTTTTGATGATTCCATTTTGGAATTGGGATACGGCAATTCGAGGGAATCTGGAGCTAACCATGCCAGAGCACTCACGAATCCAATGTTGTTCCTGACTTCATTATATAATTATATATATATATATTTGCAAAAGTCGCGAAAAAAAACATATCCAGAGGATTTCGAGTTAAGAACGACAAAATTGTTGTGTTGCATTTCGGGTCTCATTTCTCTTGACCATAGTTTGGGTCTTGCTCAAATTGATGTCCGCCAAAACTGGGCCAAAACAGATAGCATTGAAGAGCTAGTGTGGTGGTTTGCAAGATACCCTCTGGTAATTTGTTACATAGCTATTGAAAATTGCCCATTTATAGTTGATTTCCCCATGAGAAATGGTGATTTTCCATAGCTTTTTGTATGTTTACCAGAGGGTAATTTCACCCCTTAGGGATGGGGATACAACCCAGCTGCGCCGTGCCCCATCCAACGCATTGGACTCAGCGCCCCGCCAGGACGTTATAAGACGCGAAGTCGAAAGAGGCACAGCAATTAGCTGCCACAAGGCTTGGCGCAGAGTTGACGATGGTTGAGCTGATGTAAAGTAAAGATTAATATATATATATATATAGTTATATATATATATGTTGATGGTCGATGTGTTTTTTGCCTTAAGTCATGTTGGGCTTCCTCAAAACTTCGTTTCGAAACCATTTCAAAACGATCGGTACCAATGATATTGCTGTATCCAAATGTCAGATATTTCCCAAGTACTTCCTGAAACATCGAGCCCGCTGAGAAAAAGAGCAGAATTTGAACACGACGGATGCCATGCAGTTGATGCCATGCCAGGCGTTTGCAAACGATGGAGTGGGGCATTAAAAGTCACTTGAACTGCACATAGAATGACTGGTTGGATGATGTAGGGCTGGTGCGGTGGTGCAGTGTTGTGCAGTGTGATGCGGTGTGGTGTGATGGTAAACAGCAAAACATCGAAATATGTTCAAAAGCTCAAAAAGCAAGTGGTTGTGCTCCAGCGCAATATTCAACCTGAGACCCATGTGGAGAACCTTTGGTCAGAATTAGGAAGAAAAATGGGAGCGAATCCCGAAATCCCAGGTTCTCAGATGGGTTACTTCATGTTACGTCCTATCATAACCATTCAAAATTTGAATCCATTTGTATCCATTTGTGGTTTTATCTTGCAGTCTTGCTCTTTTGTCGTGCCCACGTTTTGCGGCCCAGGTACGTCGCTAGTCCAGATCGATTAGACAAGAGCCCTTGCTCTTGGTGCCGTCAGGCCCTGCAACGTGTCCAGGTGATTCATATTCACCCGGGCCAGTCGGGGCACCTTTCCTGGGTACAAGCTGGGGCAAGTTTTGCTGAGAACAAATATGAACAAATGAAAAGAGGTCACCTCGCTCGAAGATTCACCAATGGAATGCGGACTACATGTCCCGGCAGAGAGAGATTGTGCGATCTTTCAGGGCAGATGGTCCGTGGATACCCGTGGAGTTTAAAAACACCTTTCCTACTGGCTGGCCAGCAGGTAAAACCTGTTCATGGAATGGCTGGGTAAGCGTGGTGAAATTTTTTGGGAGCACCCGGACTTCACAGTTTGGGGCCCTGGAAACCATTGAGTGCGAAACCAAGACTCTGGTCGTTTTTCTAATATGTTCCAATCAGAAAAGCGATTCCCTCTGAAATTATGATTGATTGAGATCCTGGTGGTTGCTTGCTGGAATGAACTGCCAAGGGCTTTTGATATACAAAAACAACAAAGACAAATCGCAAAACCAACTCAACAAAGCTTGGCTCTTCATCCAGCTTGGAGTTTGGTTGGAGGGTCCCCTCCGGAGGTCCGAGACGTCCCTTCTGGTTGTTAGCATCAATGCATACACCATTCCATAGCGGTCTTTGAAGATATAGTGACCTGCGCTCGAGGTCCGCGGATGCTTGAGGTGTTTGGAAAATGCTGAGATGGCCCCCCCTCTGTTGAATCTGGTTGAATCCTATGTGACACTTGGTTCCAAGATATCTTGGACTTGTCTGCCTCAGGATTGGGGAATCATGAGGTCACAGCTTGTCAACTGCGTCATTGCTGATGTGCCACATTAATCGAATGATTTGCAGAGAATGTAAGTAGGTCAAATTAAATGTCATGCCCATCTGCTGCTCTATATTTATAGTATTTTATAGTATCTTTATAGTTGTATACCTCCGAAATTATATACCAAGTCTTGTAGGCAAATGTACCCCACCGTGGTTCTCATAAGAGAGATGGAGTTGCCAACTGGGAGAGAAGGACTCATCAAAAAATGATAGGCATTGGATCCCTGCGGTCCCCCGGTTATAGGATGCTATTATTGGACATTACTGGATAACATTGGATATTATTGGCATATATTGGCACTGATTTCAACCGTCGCAGCACTCCATGCAAATGACACCTCAAGCAGATCCTTTGGTAAATGGCCTGCTAGCAGGTCATACTTGTGCTGGGCAGGTCAGTCTTGTGCAGGAATGGTGCCATGAACCCGGCTAAGCAGGAACTTGGCCATGTCGTTTGGCCATGGCAGCTTTAGAGCATTGTATACATGACACAGTGGGGAGATGAAACAATCTGTTTGACATCCGAAAACTGGCCTGAACACTACTGTAAGTCATTTCCGAGCTATCCAGAACCCGTATTGGAATCTGTAGTGGAACAAGAACAAGTAGTTGAACCCGTAGCGGAAGCCTCAGGTTCGAGTGGCTTAAAAGTTGAAATCCATTCCAGCACAGTTTTTCCGCCCAAACAACACCTGTGGACTGGCGCCTCAATCGGACGTGCTGAACAGTCTAAATGTCAAGCTGACCAGGTAAAAAGACCCGCTGCCAATTGGATAATTGGATATAATTGGATGTGGGTCAAAATGGAAGACCTAGGGGACCACAGATGTTAGTCTAGTTTAGTATTCACCATCCAATTATTGGGGTACCTAATTTTGACCCATACCCAATTGGATGAGTTGAGCTGGTTTGCTGCCTGAAGGGTCTGTGTTGATGAATCTGACATTGTCGGAGGGTTCCATTGGAACTGGTGACCCAACAAATTTCTGAGATTGATGCTGTGCTGAGGGGAAGTCTGTAGAGAACACAATAGTTTTTCACATGTTAGAGTAGTACGAGTGAAGCGATAGTAAAACATCCCGCCAGGTTTTACCATCAATGGGTTGATAAATATATAAACATGTATAAATAATCAACATATGGGAGGTTTATTAGTGCTTTACCATGCTTTGTACCAACATTCCGTACTTCAGCGTCACATCATCGACCCTTGTCAATCCTGCGTGGCGATTCACGGCTTGCTGAATGTGATGCTTCCTGGGACTCATGTGTTATGGTCTTGGCGGCGCAATCTCAGGAATTCCCTGTCTCTTTATGTGTTCAAACGATGCCCCATGAAAACGAACGGATCCCAAAGTGAATTTGGAATGAATTTGGAATGAATTTGGAATTGACTGTTTCTTTCCCTGCAGAACGGCCATTGAATAATTTTCTGCCACTCAAGTTCGGGTGCACACGGTGTACCAAAATCTCCAGGAGCAGTTGCAGAAGCTCACAGAGTCTCAAGAGAAGGTGCAGTGCGGTGTTTCTACTTTGGTTGGCATTCTGGTTGGTGGTTTGGAACATGAATTTTATTTTTCATCATCCCAACTGACGAACTCATATTTCTCAGAGGGGTAGGTTGAAACCACCAACCAGCATTAGTCTGCATTGGACCACAATCAATCGGGATTGCATCGTCACAACGATGATTTAACCGAACATGGTGTTTTTTTTCACTTTTCACCGGCAAAACTCGGCCTTTAGGCCTCGGCCGCATGTTTCAAATCACTGTGATTTTTGGTGCATGGACCTAAAAGCGAGCAAACATGGGTAGATTCACATCTCACGCCTATTCCGTTGTTGGTTAATGTTTCCCAGGGTTTTGAATCTGAAGGGTTTTGACGCATTCCCATCTTACCTTACTAAAATTTACTGTACTAAATATAATTTACCTGTAAAATTCAAAACCTATTAACATTCCCCATTCCCTTGTTAAGATTAACTGATACAATGAACTGATTAAAAACCTTTATATTATTACTATTATTTGAGATTATTTAGATATATTCAATGATTATCTTCGGTAATTAGTGATGATTATTAGATTATACCAGTAGTACCGCACAAGGCGGTGGCGGAAGTTTCAAAAATAGGAAACCTATAGGAGAAGTTGGTTGTTGTGAATCAGGGATGGCAGAGCGAAGCCACTGATTGACCGAAAGGTGGTTGGAGTTGTGTTTGCTGGAATGGTTGCAATGGTTGCAGTGGTCACCTCACCCACAACTGCTGGATGTAGTGTGATGTACTGCAACTGTAGTTGTAGTTGTAGCGTAGTGGAGTTGTAGTTGTGGTGTAATGTAATTAGTGTAGTGTAGTTGCAGTCATATAGTTGTAGCTGTAGTTGTTTTGTAGTTGTAGTTGTAGTTGTTGTAGTTGTAGTTGTTGTGTGGTTGTAGTTGTTGTGTAGTGTAGTAGTAGTAGTCGTAGTAGTAGTAGTAGTAGTAGTTGTTGTAGTTGTAGTTGTTGTTGTTGTTGTTGCTGTTGTTGTAGTTGTTGTTGTTCTTGTTGTTCTTGTTGTTGTTGTTGTTGTAGCTGTAGTTGTTGTAGTTGTAGTTCTAGTTGTTGTAGTTGTTGTGTAGTTGTAGTTGTAGTTGTAGTTGTAGTTGTAGTTGTTGTTGTTGTTGCTGTTGTTGTTGGTGCTGTTGTTGTTGTGTTGTTGTTGTTGTTGTTGCTGTTGCTGTGTTGTTGCTGTTGTTGCTGTTGTTGTTGGTTGTGTTGTTGTTGTTGTTGTTCTGTGTTGTTGTGGTAGTGTTGTAGTTGTAGTTGGTTGTAGTTGTTGTGTGGTTGGTGTTGTTGTTGTTGTTGTTGCTGTTGCTGTTGCTGTTGTCGTCGAAGTTAGGGTAGTTAAGTTAGTGAAGTTAGTTAAGTTAGTCAAGTTAGTTAAGTTAATCAGTGTCTACTTTTTCGACATCTTCACGTCAAAAAAGGCTCAAAACCCTCAGTTTTTTACACTTTTGACTTCGAAATGTGCTTCGCGCCACAACGGCGTGCACTTTTTCGACACTTTTTCGACATCTGAACCTCCAAAAGTGGTCCGAGACCGTCAGTTTTTAACACTTTTGACTTGGAAATGTGCTTCGCGCCACAACGGCGTGCACTTTTTCGACATCTCAACTTCCAAAAGTGGTCCGAACCCCTGGTGTTTTGTACATTTTGACTTGGAAATGTGCTTCGCGCCACAACGGCGTGCACTTTTTCGACATCTCAACTTCCAAAAGTGGTCCGAACCTGGTGTGTTTTGTACATTTTGACTTCCAAATGTGCTTCGCGCCACAACGGAGTGCAAATTTTTCATCTCTCATCTGGCCAGCTGGCTCCGCACCCGCCGCTTTAGCGAGCCTACTTTTCGACCCTCCGGAGCCCCAAATCATTGGAAAAACACAGTGTTTCGCGACTTTCCTACCTTTTCGCGCATCTGCATCTTCTTTCTTCTGATCTTTTCTCTTCTGACTCTTTTCACCTCTGCTTTTCAACTGTCCATATTGTCGGAAGTTTCACTTCTAAACTTCCTTCGATAATTATATGATTTCCATGAATGTTATTAAGTAATATCCCTCAAGCGCATTCTTAGGTTTTCCATGGATAATATCAACATGATTGGTGAATTACTACATCACTAATTGTTGTTAAGTGAATAAGACCTGAGAAAATCAATGGCCACCGAAATTAAAATCAGTTTAAGGAACTATGGTGTTATATATACATATATATCATCCCGGTGATCACAACACACTAATTGGTGTTTAATTAAAATCACTAACTGGGAAATTACCAATTTGGATTAGACATGAGGGACTATTCACTGAAAAAGACAATTAAATTTGTCATATATATAATTATTTATCCCGACATTATCACTGGACTGGTTGAAGCAAAAATCTTAAGCGGAAATCATTGGTTTCCCCATCAAATGTAGTATAGAGGTTTCCTCTCTTAAACCCTCTCTTAAACCAATCCAATGACATTAATAAAATATTCCCATGGCCATTAATTGGTCATTAATTTAATCTATTTCCCATTGGCAGACTCACCCAATATTAAATGGTCATTAATTAAATCATTTATTGGTATACTAATAATAACACTAATTCGGAAACAATAATATTATACGATATAGTTAAGTGATCATTAAATTGGATGAACTCATTTATGAATGGTCACTTTAACCAATGGTCATGTTCATGTTCCAGTAACATCCAATAACCCAATGGCGAAAACCATTTCAACTCCATGTTTTTTTTTTTAATAAAAAAAATAACATCCAATAATCCCATGTTTAGGTCCCAACAAAATTCAATGGACCTGAATCGATTTCCATCGTTTTCCCCAGGAGACCTCCAGGGTCACCGAGACGGAGAAGCAGCTCACGGCGCAGCTGGCCACGCAGGCGGGTTTGGGCGGCTGAGATCGGTGGGTTTCATCGCCGTGAAATCCGATGGGAATCCCATTGAAATCCCATAAAATCACCACAAATCATAGGAAACCACCTGAAAAAAAAAACGATGTTGGGAAATATGGTGAAATGATGTTGGTTCCATTTATTCATCACCCTTCAATGAAATGATTATCGCCCTCATATTTTGCGGTTTACCCATGATTTTGGTGAATCGTCAATCATGTTCAATCATTAATCATGATTCAGTGATCCTCAATCATTTCACCAATCTATAATTTTGCGGTTTCATTGATGATGATCATATTACATACCTGGACGTTCAATTTCACCAGCAAATCAGTATGTTTTACCCTGAAACTGGTGAGATGGGAAATCGTCCGAGACTTTACTGAAACTTGGTGGGGTGGCAAGAACAGAGGGAAAACCCGCCAGGAAGGAGAACTAGGCATAGGTTCTTCAATCGGGAAAACCCCAACATTTGGAGGGTCATTCCTTTTGGATAATTCTAGCGGCATCATCAACGAAACCGCTGTTGCCAGCATGCCTCGTCCCTCCGCCGCGGCCAGAATGGAGAGCACCTCGCGCTGGCGGAGAAACATAAGGAGCTCAGTCGCTTTTGTCACCAGGGGTTTGGGATCGATATGCCACTTGGTGCCAGGGGTGATAACCTCCGGAATTTGGTAGGTGACCCCTATGGGATATGACTCCTATAACATCTATAACTATAACTATGGTTGTATAATATACTGATTGGCGAAAAAAACTGGCCAAGTCTGGGGCCACAACCGGAATTGGTACAAAACGGTACCCTCTGGTAAACCAACATAACTATGGGAAATCATCATTTTTTATGGGTAAATCAACGAACTTTCTATGGCCATGTTCAATAACTATGTTTGTTTGCCAGAGGGTACATCATTTCTTTGGGCATTTCTAGGGTTTTTGGGGGCCAACGAGATGGCAAGTCCTGTCTGGATTTTGCGGGATCATGAATGGTTGGTGGGTTGGAACATGACTGGATTATGACTTTCCATAAGATATCCTCTGGTGAACTAACATAGCAATGGAAAATCACCATTTTTCATGGGAAAATCCACTATAAATGGCCATTTTCCATTGCTATGTTAGTTCACCAGAGGGTATCCCATAGGATCCATGGTGCTGGTATATATGCTTAACATGACTGGGGTATATTGATGGGATCCATGTTACCATATATAGCAGCACCATGGATCCGTCATGGGTATGGGAATTTCATCATCCCAATTGACGAACTCCATCATTTTTCAGAGGGGTAGGGCTCAACCACCAAGCAGATGATCACCAATGAATGATCATCCTTTGTAAAAATCCCAGGAGGAGAATCATTCTTTGTTTATTCACTTGTAAAACATCCTCTAAGAATTTTTACACCACCAATCGAAACTCTGGTTTTGTCATGAACCTGTTCATGTGATTTGATTTGTTGGTCCATTTGGGGCAGTATCAATACGGGGAAAATATATGAAAATATGATATCCGCAAATCAGAACAGATCCATTTCTATCACCCCGAAATCAACCATTATAATCCATTATATCAACATATATCAACCATTCTGATCATTGAACAAATATTGAAACAAGCACACCATTTTTAAAAGTAGAAGAAAAGGAACAGGTTCCGTTCCATTAAGTTTCCAATAACAGGACTTGGCCGAAGACGTTGACCGGCGCTTTGCAGAGCTCAAGGCTGTCTCCGAGGCACCCAAAAGGGCGGATGTTGCGGTCGCATGAAGAATCATAAGACATCTCAGGCGTGGGAAAACCACAGGTTTTTCTGGTCTTTCTGCAATTGGGAAAGCCATCTTGGACCTTTTTTGCGTGCGAAACGTCGATTTTTTTCTCGAACTGATTCCGATCATCACGAGTTAATGGGAACGTGACTGACAGATGCGAAGGGAAGGAGATGTTGGGCCTTGGGCAGTGCGGACTTCTTGATTCCTTGTTTCCGGCCACAAATCCATGGATCCACAACGTGAATCATATCTCTATTGTGGTGAATACGTGTACGAAAAAAGATCGAAGCTGGATGAAGCTATGTGCTAACAAGGGATGGTTAACAGTTGAACGGCCAAATCTTGGGATCAAAGCCCCATTTTTTGGGGATCGGGATTTTCCCAATGAAATGCACATAGAAATTGGGGATTTACGAGTGAACCATGTGTAAAATAACTGCTGGGCATCGAGACTCGTGCGCCGAGCGCATCGAGATTTTTGCGAAGGCGGAGAAAGCGACGATGGCCTCGCAGCACGCGGAAGAGCAAAAGGCTGCAGAGGAGCAGCGGCTGCTGAGCAGCGACAAGTTCTTGTGGCAATGGAGATACTAAATACGGATCAGTATGGATCAATATGGATCAATATGGATCAATATGGATCAATACCTCCAATTTTGATAAAATATGATAAAATGTTGTGGTAAACCATGGTACCAAAATGTACCAAATGGATCCAAATGGTACCAATGCCACAACGACCATGAACTGGGGATGGTTTCAATCCCGCCCATGGCGGTTTCACTACTTCTCCAGGAAGCGATGGCCGAGATGTCGAAGAGTGCGGAGGCGGGCTGGGTGGGCCTGGTTACCAGGGTGAAGGACCAGCTGGGTATGGCTGTCGCTGTTGCTGTTTGAACTTTTAGGATTGGCTAATAGCCATTCTGATGAATGATATCAATATAATTCAAGAATATTCAAGATATATCAAGCAATTTTGTCTCACAGAGTCTCACGTTTTGATACTTGGGAAGGATGTTATTCAAGATTAGCTTTGATTGGTGATTGAAGTTGCTAATCTACTATTGCTGCCTCAGGAAAGCAAAGATGGCCATTGAATGCCATTGAAAACTCCCATGTTCAATGCAAAGCTCATCAGCAGGGCAATTTCCTGGCCATGGTTTGAATGCCAGAAGTACTGTAGACTTGGCCCTACCATGGGGATAAGTGGTGATGTCACCAAACTTGAGACAATGATCAGCATATTTTGAACACTGGCAAACACCTCCAATAGGAAAAAAACGGTAGTGATTTTGTGAAGATGTTCATGTTCACCGCCTTCTGCCTCCGGTACCTTCGGACTTGTAAAGATGTTTTGTGCCGTTCAAAGTCTATCAAACACTTTTCTCAAGTCTTTATTAGTCTTTCCATCCCCTTCTTTTGTGGCTTCAACCAGTTTGGGCCAGACATGTTTCCCAATCCAAACAAACCAGGCTTCGCAGGCTTCCATGCAAGAGATGCTGGCCGAAATGACGAAGAACACTGAGGCGCCGAGAGGGGCCACGACGGCCACGAGACGGGCTACGGAGCTGTGAGTTTTCACATCCCCTCCAATTGGACTTTTGTGAGATTTGATTGGGTTTAATGGGACATATTAATATATATATATATAATTATATATATATATATTAATGGGATGTAAATTCATATATAATGAACATTAATCAACAACGTAGAAAATATGGGATAGAATGGCGTTTATACTGGGCTATAACTGGGCAAACAATGGGCAACTCACCCACCCTCCATTCATATTTTTTTTTTTAATATATCATTACCATCCAAGTACAACCATTCCCAGAGCAACTAGTCCGCAGTTGCATCTCACTTGCCCAATGTACTCAACCAATGATGGAAGAGAAGTGCATCTGGGTAAGCAGAGACCTACTCACACTCAATATTTAGGGTTTTTATATGTGTTCGCTTTGTTTGAAAGCATTGTTATCATGTTATCCCGATTCTTTGCTTGGGTTTCAGGTATACTAGACCAAAAATGGATTGTATAAATTGGATAAATGATCCCCAACTAGAAGTTTCCTAATTATAATACAGGGCTTACCGCATCATTATAAGAACTTTAAACATGCGCAAACCAACATGTTGGTAAACCCTATTGCCAATACAGAACAAATGAACTAAATGTTTGGTAAACCAACATTATTGAACTAATGAACTAAAGAATCAATTATTAGTTCATTGTTTGGCAATACCAACATCATTGGCGTTTCACGCCCCAAAAGGTTGGTAAAAGTGGCACCCACCTGCGCCTTGCGCCTCGCTGCGCCTCGCTGCGCCTCGCACAAGGCGAAGTTGCAGGAGGAGAAGAGCCGCGCCATGGAAGCAGAGAGCGCTCTGCGCGAAGGCGCCTGTGGGCTATGAAGCCAACGCATCAAACAGGGGGATTTTATTTGATATCTATAAAACCTGAGGTTTTTTTGTTTATGTGCGATTTTTTTTCTTCCTGTTACTGTAACCAGTTTGAAAAGGGAGATCGGCTTTCATATTATTTCATGAAACATTTTGAATTTATATCAGCATCGCACATGACACACATTGTTTTTTGTCTGTCAAACTGATATAATATACGATAGTGAGCTTAGTAGAAAATAAACAATCATGATGTATCTGATGATTGAGGATGATAATCCGGGTAATATGATTTATTGAAAAGTACCTACAAACTGGATCGCAGCTGACTCATATTTGAGGACGGCTCAGCCTCCCACCGTGCTGGGCGTTCAAACTGCAATACTTGTTGAGGAGAAAAAGGAACAACGTCAAGGCAGATTGATTGCAGATGATCAGCAATGACCATGAAGACAAGAACTCCCAATAGTTGGCAATTGAAAGGTTGGAACCGTGTTTCAATGCCTGTCTTGACGATATGAGACATTTACAACTGGGACCATCTTTCAAACCATGAATTCCATGCTACAAACCATTCAGAAATGTGTGAATTTCCGCGCAAGCTTTGTCCATACCCATGGTATCCCAGAGGTATCGAGCGGTAAGATCCAAGGAAAACTCCACAGGGGAACCCCCATGGGATGAAGACTTCAGAGTTTGCAGGTCTAGCTGCCCAGGCGCAGCCTGTGGATGGGGGATCATGACGCATTTTCTCAAGTCTCGACTGAGAATTCGGACATCCTCAGAATGGAAACTGGACATCCTCCTTTCATAATCATAACATATTATAAAGATTTAAGTCGTGTACAGCTAGAGGTTCCATCTCAGGAGTTTCGTCATTAGAATGGCACACCATTCTGACATATTCTGACATTCTGACCCATCAACATAAATCCTTATATAGTTATATATATATATAGTTATATAATGTTATATAGTTATATAGGAGGCACTTCTCCAGTTCTTGTTTTGCAACTGTTTTTTTCGCAAGAAGAAGAGATTAGTTCCATCATGTTCCATCCGCTAGTGACATTGACCGTTAAGCCGCGAAGCGTATGGTGCCACGGTGTATTGACCGTTAAAGAAGTGACTGTTGTGAAAATGTGTGGTTTCTTTATGCTGCAAAACATGCAAAAGCATCATGGAACTGCAAATGTTGGATAGATATTGTATTGCTTTGATTAACCTACGGGTTGAAGCTTCTTGCAGAATTTCCTAGTATTTCCTATTGCAACCCAAAATTCAATTGAAACAGTCTGTAAGTTCGCAAGTCATGGGATGTGGATCTTTCTCCAATTGACTTGGTGCTATGTTTGGAGGGGAAACCAATGGTCGGGGCTTCCCTCCGTTTTTCGTGGCAGGCCTCCCAGGCGTGAGCTGAAGCAGCTGGAGGGATGGAGGGACCACCATATGATACCCTCGCATCAAACATGGTTTGCTGGACAAATCCCCATTTATATAAGATTATATAATATTATATGGAATACTATATGTTTCATATGTTTTTTTTCTGTAATATAATATATATATATATACACATGATTTTCTCTCTTTACTCGCCATAATCATTTATAAGGGATTTTCCATTGCCATGTTTGATGACCAGAGGCAAATATGCCATCAAATTGCCATTGAAATGGGAAAATCATGATTTGGATTAAACCTTGAATGTCGAAGTGCATTCCAGACATGTCAGCTACCCCAAAGAAAAGCAAACTACGTCTTGCAATCAAAAGTTACTAACAGGATTCCACTTCCAAAGGCAAGCACCCGATACACAGACAGCACCCTTGGGAATGGCAAAGTACAGCAAACTCGGTACACAAGGTTGAGAAGTGACCGGTTGCAGAAGGGTGGGTCAAGCCAAGCCCTCTGGCAACCATCACAAATTGGACGATTAATAGCTGGCAAGCACCCTTCCATTGAGACCACATTTATGGATTTGTCAGGGGATGTGCGAAACCGCCCAGCACGAAAGGTCACCGGCCCCCGTGCAGGCTGCCGCACAAGCAGCAGCACAGGCGCAGGCAGGCTATAGATTCAATGACCTGGGTTTGCGATGCCAAGATGCGTTTGATTCAAAATTGTGGACCTCCAAAATTGAATTCATTAACATGAATTATGGAAACTATGATTCTAAATGATTCTAACATATTCTAACATACAATGGCTTCGGACCAGTGAGAATGAGGGATGGTCGGTTTACACCATGAAATTCACGTCTCATGTGCTACTGTACCCATGATGCAAGACGTCATCCATGGTGGGCATCGCCACTTGTTCCAGCAAAAATCAGGATGTAGTTATGGATGACGCAAACAATCATGGTGAAGTTTGCAACAGCTCCTTTCTTGGAAAATATATATATATATATATTGGACAAGAAGACGCGGATACTCCTGTCAACATTTGCAACCCACTGGAGCAGCTTGGGTCCGCTGCCGTGCCGATCATGCACCCCCCAAAGGCATTGGTCATATCAGGACTACGGTCACCATCAGCGAAGGTTTGCAACGTCCTGTAAAACCAGGTGTGACTAAGGCATGATCATCCATGATCATTCTCAATTACATGTTTTACGGATCATCATAATATATCATAATATATCATAATCCTTATGATGATCATCTTAATTCCCATCATAAAAGCATATAGTCAACGGCAGATCATAATAGATGGGTATCATCATCATAGATCGTCAAACATGATAGATCATGAGAATAGATTTAATAGATCGTCTTGGTGGGTATATTGCCATGGCATTTTACAATCCCATGATTTATTGCCATCTGGTTATTTAACATAGCCATGGAAAATCACCAAATTTTAATAGGTAAGCCATCTATTTCTATGGGCCATTTCCCATGGCTGGGCCATCTATACCATGGCGAACTGTTAAATCCCATAGGATCCATGTATGCTATATATGGTAAAACTTACCATCAATATACCCCAAATGTTAGCATATAATATATACCATACATGGATCCTATGGGAATATCCAGAGGGTATTGCCATCCTAAAATCCCCATGGATCCCATGGCATCGGCCTGACACCGAGGCGCAGGCCGCCCAGGCGGACGAGGCCGTGCGCCAGACGCGCGAGGCGGAGGAGCTGCGGAAGCAGTGCCTTGGATGCCCAAAGGAGTTCCGGTTGGTCGGTTGCCATGGAGAAATCGTGTTTTTATGGTGGTTGAAGGGGATTTCATGGTGGTTTTAATGGGTTTTAATGGGATTTCATGTGATTGAGTAGGATTGTTCCAGTGTTATTCCATTGTTGATGTGATTTTCATGTTTGTTAATGGGAGTTCATAGGATTAAACACTTGTTTTTAATGGGATTTTATGGGGATTTGAATGATCTGCAGGGTCTTGCTGGGATTTTAATTGGGATGTTCCTTGGATTCAAAGGGATTTGAAATGATCGGTTTGTAGTGGGGTTTAATGGGAGCTAATGGGATTCTATGGAGATACAGCTTGTATGCTCCATGTCTGGTATTTTTGGCAACAAAACTGGCTGTTTTATGGTGTAAGGATGTGTAAGGTATCCGAGATTTTGGACCATGCTCTTGTACTGGAAATCAGCTGGCCAAATGGGGGTTTCTTGAAATAGGGGATCCCCAAAACCGTAGACACTAATAGACTAAAATGGTGCAATTTTGGATGATTTGGGGGTACCCAAATTGGGAAACGTCCGAATGCATTCAAGCATTGTTGAGCACTCCTTAAGCACCTTCAACTGGCACTGTGACATGGGTAAATACCCATACCCGTCGGTGACATATGGCCGGGACAACTTTCTGAGGATCGCGGAACACACCGAAAAGCTGGAGGTGCGCAGATTGTTGGGGGCATTTGGCCAACTGAGTCCAAAGACCCGATATGTTGATGGAAAGACGTGAGAGAAACTATTGCTGTTTAGCTTGAGGGAATAGTCACATGGCATCGAAAAAACCATCTATCCCATTCAGCAAGAGTTTGACATCAGGGTCGGAATTGAGCACCTAAATAGGTGACTTCGGAATTTGGACCCATTCACTTTCTTGATCCATGTCTGGAAAGTGAATTTCATGTCTGGATGGGACATATATAATCATAATATATATATATATATAAACACAGAACGAACGGAAGCGAAAGTGAGACTTTTCCTCCAGTGAACATGGCATTGAAACACATTTTAATGGCCATTGCAGGAACCTAAATTGGAGGTACCTACCATATATAAGGCTTATATAAGTCTTATTTTTCAGGGAATATCCCCACAAAATATGGTCTTATATAGTCCACTACCTCCATTTTAGGATCCTGAATTTCCCATTGAACATTCGATTCATCGAAGACCTATCCGAAATGGGGGATTGCCGGAGGGTAGTCATTGACCATGATGAACCACCAACCATTGAGGCTTCAATGAGTGATCCAGTAACCATTCAATCATCATTAACCATGATTAATCACCATGAAACCACATTAAAACCATGATGAATCACCATTAAAGCACATTAAACCACCATTGATTCGTTGCAGTTCTAGAGTCAGTTTTTTCCGCCACAGGCAGTGCAAGGCTCCTGCCACGAGGCGGCGTGAATTTGAAACGCTCACGGCCGCATGGTGAAACATGGTCGATTTAGAAAGAATCAATAGCCTCTGGTAATTTAACATAGCTATTGAAAATGGCCATTAATAGTGAGTTTTCCCATTAAAAATTGTGATTTTTGATAGCTATGTTAGTTTACCAGAGGGTACTGTAGTTGATAGTTGGACCGAAAGAATCATTCATTTAGTGAAAATATATAACCTATATAATTTTTTAAAATACCAACTCATTGGTTCTTCAGAAGACAGAAGTTGATAGTTGGTAGATTTAGACAGAATCCTCAGTGATAAATTATGATAAATTGATGTTGCTAAACTTGAGATACGTTGATAGTTTGCACAAACAAAATAATTTAGCAATACCATTTGGTAGATGAACATAGACCCTGAAAATGACCAGTTTTTGGTGAACACATGTGGAAACCAATGTTCCAAGCCCCTGTTTGGCAGGTTCTATGTTCATTTACCGGAGGGTAAATTAAACCTATTTCTATCTCGTCTTTGGGAAATTCCCAGAATGGGTATGGGTCAAAAGTCAAAATTGAAGACTCGGTAGGATCGTAAATCGTCTCATTTTGGTGTACCCAATTCTGCCCCGTACTACTGTACTCATATTTATTTCGGGGTGGACATATGTGAAATGTCAGGTTCTATGTCCAAGTGTGCGCGTGTACTATCCCCAACCTTCCAGTTGCCTTTGAGATACGTAACCGAGGTCATTTTACCAGCCATGATGTTTGTGTTGGTACCCATCTGACAGGTAAGTATTTTTTGAGATATATAGATAACGCATGATAACGCCGAAAAAGATAGAAACGTCAAGTCCTTTTACAATAGTGATACATTGAACCTGTTCTATGCTTTTCTATTGTTTTTCGTATATCAAAGTAGCAAACCTCCTCCAGGCCAAGCAGGCTGCAGAGAAGTACAAGGCGCAACGGAACAGTTTTTTTTCGTTTCTTTTTTGGATGGAGTTGGTATCGGCGAAGCCATGAAAACATGTCAGGATCTTGCTTAATGTCTGTTTTTTTTGACTCTTGGCGGATGTTGCAAAAACAGTAAAACAGTAAACGTCAGTCAGGACACTTCGGGATTGGATATCGGATGCTTTCCGGAATTTTAAGGGATCCAGGGGTATCCGGGTATCCACTATCCAAGTTTGCGGGAGAACTATGAAACGAGGTGACAAAAACTGGGATCCCTGTAGCGGAAACAATAAAGACGATGGGTTTATTTCAGGTTTTGGGAGGTATTTTTCACCGTCTCACAGGGTCCGACCCGATCTTGGCTGTGGGCACTTCCAAGTGATAGTCGTTTGAGCGTCACCCTTCCACCATATAGGGTTGTAAATAAGCAACTTGGAGTGATGACATGATATCACCCCAATTCAAGCGGGCTAAGTGTTTGGTAAGCGGGTGCCAACCCCTCATGACTGGGATATATATATATAATTATATATATATATACAATTATATATATATATTATATTATATATATATACATATAACCCATATATATATAATATATATATATGGGATATATCGCAGGACATCTAACCACTTGGCTAGTGGTAACATTCAAGCGGGCCATGTGGCCTTCGGGGGAGCAGCACAGGAAGAGACCACCAAAGCCATCGAATCAGTGAGAGATGATGCGCTAGGCCGGTGTTGGGTTACAGGACACTGGCAGCAGTTCGGGGGCATTTTTGCCCATGGAGGACTATCATGTTCCTGTCAAACATTAAATGCTAGGACATGAATTGGTGGCCTGATAACTAAAATTAGCCGTGGAATCTAGCATTTGAAGTTTGAAACTCCCAGTTTTAGATTTTCCACAGGAAAAAGGTCTTAAGATGTGTGATTATGTGAAGCAATAAAGCCAGATGTGATCACATGTGAATATTTGTTTCACTTGCAGTGTCATTGCATGTTTGTTATTGTGGTCGTAGCACCATCGAATTCGATTGTCAACAGAGTTGCTGCAAGTGCTGGAAAGGATCCATTGGAAGTTAGGGGCCTTTCTGTCGTTGCAGTCTACTTGGATGCGCATCCCACTTAGCAACTTGGTAGTGGTCAATAGTCATGGTTCTAGGTTAGTTATGTTCGGGATATCGCCAGGTCCCCAGTGATATAGTATGGTGTATATATATATATCATATATACATATTGTATAGAAATATACGGGCCAACCACAGTTTTTCATCCAGGTTTGGTTCCAAGCACCAGGTGCGGTGGCCAGTGAAAGCAAGGAGGCAGTGGCGGCTCTGGAGACAAAGTTTGGCGAGGCTGGTGACGCGCAATTCCTGATGAATGGAGGTTTTTCGCTGGGAACACATGTGAACATCATCGAACTTAGTGGTGATATGGTGGATATTTTATATATATATATATATGTATGTGTATATATATATATGTGGTAGGTCCTCTGGGACCTCTGGGAATATCACATTTGCTTACCCTGGACAGACATCATAGGTAAGTCATCGAACTCAATGGACCGTGGCTTCCGTATGTCAAATGACTGGAGGGTGCAAGTTTTTTGACATCTGACTGGGGATTATAAGTTGTGATTTACCTATGATATATTATGATATATTATGATACCTATTATGATATATTATGACTGGGGATTATTATGATATATTATGATACCTATTGTTTTTACTTCTATTTGTAAGTTGTAAATGCTGCTGGCCGGGTGTTCCTGTAGGATAATTGAAACATATTGAAACCCAGATATATGGGTGAACTAATAATGTCGAATTCGAGGGATGTATTGCGAAGCAGTTCATGGTCGGAAGACGCGACTATTTTGAAGGTTTCAGGGAGTTTCCCTCAAAAAAATAATCAGCCGTCTATTTGAGTCTTGTATTTTTGAGATTTGGAATCCCGAAGATGACCTTGATAATAATTGTACGCTGCAAGTCCCAATTATCACTTTTTTAGTGTATACTCATACTATCTCATACTCTCATCAAATTTCAATACCGGCCCAAATAATCGTACTATCTCGTACTATGATTACCCTCTGGTAAAGTAACAAAACTATTGAAAATCACCATTTTTAATAGGAAAATCCACTATAAATGGCCATTTTCAATAGCTACGTTAAATTTACCAGAGGGTATGTATTGTGTATTGCCTTTCCATCTCGCTGCAATCCAGAAAACGCTGCGTTCGCGGGCAATCTTTGGAAAAATATGTCGGATCAAAGTCTGGTACACGTGTTTTCACATCAAAATAGCGGGTTTTTTGGCCACCTAGCTATAGTCTATATCTATCCCATAGGATCCATGTATGGTATATATGCTAACATTTGGGGTATATTGATGGTAAATGTTACCATATATAGCATACATGGATCCTGTGGGTATTATACCAAAATCTATACCCACTATATCTATACCTCAAAAAGTCTGGTATATCCTAGCATAGTCTGGGGTCATCCCCAGGCATGATACTTTGCTACTCATCCCACTCAAGGCCACCAGCCATAGTGGCCGACTGCCAAGTTCATCGGGCAGGCCACAAGAGCACAAAACGAGATGAAAGACAAACTGGAGCAGTCGCTTGGAACAGAAACGATGAAAAGATGGGGATAGAATGGGATAGATGGGGGGGTTCCTAAGTCATGGGGGTACCCTCTGGTAAACTAAGATAGCTATGGAACATCACCATTGATAATGGGTAAATCAATGTAAATCAACTATAAATAGGCCATTTTCAATAGTTATGTCAAAGTACCAGAGGGTACATCAGATCATTCAAGTCATGGATGACCATGACTTAGTATTAAAACCCATTGCCACTTGGGGAATTTACATGAATTTACCATTTTAAGAAACCCCTAGATGATGAAAGATCGAATGATCTGAAGATATGGCTTGGGTCAATGTCCCAATGAAATTGTATGCCTCATGACAAGTTGGGGGCGTTCCACAAAGAATTTTTCGCACCTGGGAAAGAACAACTAAATTGCGACCATTGCATTTTTTTAACATGTTTTAACCATGAAGGGCCTGATTGGGAAACCAGAATTTTGAAGGTAAACCTTGGTTTGGTATTACAATTGTATATAGTACTAGCAGATTAGAAATGGTACTTTATGGTGATATTTGAGCTACAAATGCGGGAATGAGTGCACGCATTGATCATACCATGCTAAAACCTAAGAGGAATCTGACCATTTGTAGATTGATTTCCAAGGAAAACCATGGGGTTTCCACATATCGGGTAGATGGTAGCTGGCCCCCTTCACCTTTTGTGATGGCTCCCAGGCTGCAAAAATCCGACGAAGATTTCATGCAGGCGCGGTAGAATGTAGTTATGTGACAAATTGCATAGTGGCATGTGGGAACCTCTAAAAACATCTAAAAACGAGGTGCCTGAAATCTCATGGTTGATGATGTGTTTCAATCATTTTTGGATTTTCAGCCAACCTCCATTATCTGGACAAATTCATGTCTTCGGACACTGTCAAAGAGTGGCATGGCGATCAAGAAGATGCATCGTCAGGGATGTCGCCCCAAATGCCAGAGATGAAGTGAACATCTTGAGGATGGCACATCCCATTTCCAGTTTTTGTTCCACTTGATCAGTTAATCCCATTTTTTGAGACAAGAAGATAAGTTGATATGAGTTGATCCCATTTTTTTGAGACAAGAATGAGAAGAATGAATTATAATTTATAATTAATATTAATTAATTACTTTCTTGGACCATCTTGGACCTCCAAGGCACAGTTCATGACGCAACACCCTTCCGGAGGATTTTTATTGAAGAATATTCCTTTCAGGTCAGGGGTTTGACTACATATTAATGAGGGCATGGGAAGGTGTATACGGCATTAATAAACCCAACTGCATTCCCAAGTACTAATAGGTTGAGTTCCCCTAAAATAGCATAGACCCTGCCAAATAGGGGGTTGGAAGATTTACTTCCCACTAAAAAGATCTATATAACAAGGGTCTTTTTCAGGGACTATTAAAGATTTGTTGGAGAGGTCTCGGCCCAAATCTTACCAGCTGGTGGACCTGTGTCAGCTGAAGTTTGGGAGCTTGTTTCACACCTGCCATGGAACCCCCCGGGGTCTTTGTGTTCGGTTCACCTATCTGGCTTTGTTGCATCCCTCAGCGGGGTGGAGCTGATTCCTTTGGCGGACCTTCGGTCATTGCATACTACCCAGATCTTTCCGTCATTGTCCTGCTCGACCACCTGAACTCCAACTCCAAGGGCTTGGTCATCATACTGGATTATTGCACTTCCTTGTGCACAGAGACGGTTTCCGAAGAGAAGTTCATGAAAGGCCTCGTCAGCTTGGAGCTTAGAGGTGCTTTCTTTATTGATTTCTTTCCTTTGGTGCAGGCTCCGGCCATCTCTGTTGCCAAGAATTTTTCTGGTTATGACCGCTTGCTTGATGGAGGGCCACTCCGGATGGAAAGCGATGAATTTGGGTCTTGCTTTGCTCAGCAAAACTTGCTGTTGACTGACGCCATGTTGACAAACTTCGTTGTGATGGGTTTCTTTTGCCTGCTTCAAAAATCGCATGCTTGGGCTTGGACTCATGGACCTTTCCTTTCCCGGATTGACAACGGATCCTTGATCACATCAGTTTGCAGCTGACATATAAGTGCACCGGATTCATGGCAGTGCCGTTCATTGCATTCAATCTGTGCAACCGATGGCGACCTTGCCGAGCGAGACCTGAGCCTGCGGGGCCGCACTGTCGTGGTGTTTTTCCCCTCCTTGCTTTTTGTTTGAGTTAGTCCGTCCCTGCCAGTACACGCCTGGAAGAAGTATTTTGGAACCTTCTAGCATTCCGGGAGCCCAAGGCTCTAACCGCTTGAAGGCTTCCACGCAGTTAATGCCTGTCAGCAGTTTGTACAATAGTCATGGACGGTGGCCAAGGGCAAACTCCCTTGGCCACCTTTGAGGTGAGTGCACTACAGGCTGTTCAACGGCCGACCGTGTCGGCTTGACCTGACTTTGGCCGCGCTGCTCTGCTGCCGCCGAGCACGCGGTCGCCAAGCACGTCCGAGCTAAAGATTTGTTGGAGGAAATACTGTATTCCTCATTATCATATGGTACCATAAAATCACACTGGCCAAGTACTTACTTTTTAACAGCTCTCTTGAATAACTTATGGCGCTTTGTTCCTGCCTGTGGGTGTGCAAGAACAGAAATGCATAGCAGCTGACAAACCAATCCGGTTTGGATTTGGCGGCTGATCAAGTGACATTCCGAATGTCACTTGATCAGTCGCCAAATCCAAGTGTACAGGTCACTTGGAGCTATCACGTCTCTTCTTTTAGCAAAGAACTTCGGAAAAAGGTAGGCCAGAACTCCAGGACATTTTGTGTATGATCCACATTTTGCTTGCATGATCTTGCATGTATAACCACCCTAGCGATTGAGATGAACCTTGGCAGCTTTGGCTAACTGGCCAGCATAGCACTCTGAAACTTCTCCGATGCATTCTCCAAATTGCTATATTTCACGCGGCAAGATTCAACGTTGGCAGAGCAATGCATACGCAGCATCATAGCATTGTCATATCATATCTTATCTTCATATAATTCGT